AAAATAAAGGAGCGAATCAAACCGAGTCAGCGAGAGTCGAGCAACGATGTTTATTTGACTCGAAAGTGACATACCCCTCGACCTAAACTTCTACCGTCGAAATTATCCATACACTATCGCCAGTACATCCATTTTCAGTTTGGAACTACGTGGCTACATCCGTTGTCTAACCCTGTCGATAAAATCATAGCACAGAGAATTACGGCCGATTTTGACAGTAACAAAAAAAAAGGCCAGCATGATCTCTTTGGTTTCTCTCTATCGCAGTGCTCAATCACGTGCTAAATTCACTACTTTAAAAAATGTACATATTACTTATAAAGTTCTGTAATAATATTCTTAAAATCAAGTTATTCAATGACACTTCATTTAGTTCTATTTATTAAATATTAAATGCATCATGATATAGTAATCATTATGCTCATTCGATATATAATCTCGTTGAGTTCATTTTCCGATACCGTGTATATACAAAAAAAACCTAATGTTTTCCATTTCACACAAAAGTGAGCATAATGATTATTATCATAATACATTTAATACCTAACAATAAAATATTGTAAAACTCAGTAAAGTTGTACTGCTACGTTATTTTGATTTAAAATTTCGCTATAGAACTTTAAGTAATAAGTATATTTCTATATTTGCTCAGTGTTTAAATGATATGCAATTTATAATTTATATTATGCTTCTTTCTGTTTTCCTCTTTCTAAAAAATTCTAATTGAAATAAAAATTTGTAAGTTGTTTTCTCAATTCGTCATCTGTTATAAAAAACAACTATCGATTCGTAAATGACGTAAATTTCGATAAACGTACAGCATTTAATTTTTTACTATTAATTAATAACTTTGATTTTTGCGCATTTTTTAAAGATTGATTACTTATTTTTTTTCATACAATTCCTTTGATAGCCATCATCTATTTATTCTAATTGGTTTTTAATTTTCAAAAAGAATATAATTTCTGACCCGTATTCGGAACGCGCTTTTATGTTTGAAGTTCTACAGTAATGTGACCTACTATGTGACATGTGTTAAATACGCGCTAATATCATAAAAGCGCGTTCTGAATAAGTACAGGCTTATCTATCTTTGCGAAACGCACAGCGCCAAATTCCGAAAAAAAATGAAATTTCTTGCCCGTCGCGCTTAATTATATACTCCAACCGAAAGCTAGCGCGGTCCAATGAGCTCTCGAATTCGCGTCCGTAGTGACACAGCGCGCTCATTGGCTGGCATACGAGTGGTGGGGATCAAAGTCTGACGATGCGTATAAATAGCGCGTAAGTCACTATAGAACGTTTTTGCGATTCGGCTAGCGGTGGAGTTACGTCCTGTCATTACGTTGGAATAGTTCGCAGTTCGCACTGTTCGCAGCCTTGGCTTCGAATTAATTATTTATAACTTATTACCTTATTTCCTCCTAGAAGCATCCTAATCTTTGCAGAGAATCCTTATCACTCTTATCAGACAAACGGCTCGGAGGACCACTGGAATTATTTACCAACGAGGTAATCAACAATTAATAAATATTGTTAAATTAAAATTTTTACACGCGACGCGAAAAATACTTTAAGAACCTATCGTTTTTATAAGCTCTCGAAGAGTTTTAAAATCTTATGCGTTGTAAAAATATTATTATTAATATCTCGAATCTGTTATTCGTGCAAAACTTGTAGGCAGTTTAATACGATACGAAGTGTAATTAACTTTGCATTTATTTCGGATAACATTTTAAATATTGCATAATATAGATTCTATATAGTAGTACTAGTACATTTTCATGATTATTCAGTCGAATAAGTATTTTTCTCATTTGATTGAAACTCAAGACGCGTCGTGCCGTCGAGTCTCGCGTCGCTTTTTCCGCGTGAAGTTGGCCGCGTATAAAAAACGACGCTTCCCTATTTCGATCGCATTCACGTTTAATTCGCGGAATGCGGCGGATGGGGCTGTCACGGCGGAACGAATGGCTCTCAAACGAGTGGCAGCAGATCAAATATGGTAATTAGAACCTACATAAAACTTATATTTAACCATTTATTGATATTTAACTACTGCGTAACTATAGATTCAGTATTTGTATACTAATGATCCGTTCTCGGACGCGTATTTCGTAAAACTTGTTCGGCCGAAAGTGTATCGCTGTGAATAATTGAAAACAAACGACATTAACTTTCATAATTTGTAAAGGCGTCTTTTCACGTTTGACTCTTGACGCTCCCATGTAAAGGCTCCTTAACAATGCATCTATGCGTTTCGATCGAGTTCGTGCCTTGCCAGTCTTACATCATGGCCGTGATATGTTTAATTAATATGTCGGACCGTGGCATCTATAATGTGATCAACGTTTTAATTTTCAATGACGTCGCGCTGACCGGTGACTGATGGCACTATCAAACAAAGAAAAATCTAAAACTCTTAGAATGACGTGATTTAATATAATTACTTGTAAATATATAAAACATGGATTTAATAAAATGGCAATAATTTTACTCTGTTGTAGATACCGGCATTCAATGTATTAATTAATTCTCATGACATCATTTGCAGTGTGTTGTTCGATGCCAACGTTCCATATTAGATAACTGACGAGAATGGCAGTTACTATTGGTGAGCTATTTTAGTTTTAACAATCATTTTATGTTTGTTGAAAAATAATCTGTTGAGTACGAGAATAAAAGGATAAAAATAAAAGCAGAGATTCAGTGATATCAAATGGTATGTTGAAATGATAATGTCAACGTATATGTTTATATTGCAGATTCTGTGATATATCTGTGTTTTGTGGCGATTCTTTGGGGTGTAAGCAACCCATTTATAAAGAAAGGTGCGCAAGGTTTGGAGGATATTAGGGCCAAGTCAGTTTATGGACAATTTTTTAAGGAGCAGTTATTTCTCATTACTAATCTGAAGGTAATCATTGTATCTTTACATACATTTTACCAAATTAATCTGGAGACACTGATAGTTATAGATACTCTATCTCATTGTTAGTTATAGAAGAGCTTAGCAAACAAGCTGATGTTATTTCTCAATATTTTGACGTCAAATGACATTACAAATAATATTAAAAATAATTTTAGCTTGTGTACAGGATGTTTATTATTTAGAAAAATCTGGAAAACCTGGAATTTTCAGATTTCTTTTTTATCATTGAAAATTAGAGATTTTTATGGAATTTTATTATTGAGATTTAGGAAAATTTTAAGAATTTTAAATTAAAATTTTATCTTTTTTTGAAAACATCTTGATCATTTTTTCTTGATAGTGCAAAATGTTAAGAATCAATTAGCAATAAATATGATACACACATCTGCTATTTACATACATTTTTGTGTTTCATGAGTTTTTATCGACAAGAAATCAAGGTGATAGTAGAAGAGAATAGAGTAACTCATTTACATTTTATATATCCTATAGGTTTCGTGGCTCTAATTGTAGAAAATAATAGATACAATCAAAAGTGTATTTATTGTGAAAAACTCCTGTCTTCTACGAATTTTCGATGTATATTTTGTTTGCGTTGCTTGTACTCTAATTTCATTCCTTTATTCCAAAGTTGCATTAAAAAATTCTAATATTATCTTGACTTTTAAACAAAAATAGCTGAAAAATCCAGAAATACACTCAAGAAATTTGTTTTACAAGATTTCAGGAAATATCCTTGCTAGATGTATTAGTATTTGCTAGGAATAATACTATTTGTAATTCATTTTATTTTTTTTTATATAGTACATCGTGCCGTTTCTCCTTAATCAATGCGGTTCGGTACTGTACTTCTTGACTCTGCAAAGTAGCGACCTATCCCTGGCTGTGCCAGTTTCAAATTCTCTTACCTTCGTATTTACTGCGATCACAGGCTGGTTCCTGGGCGAGGAAAAAGTGCATAGAAGTGAGTATACGGGAGCTTATCTTCATCGTAAGAGAATGCTTTAAATTATTAATTGCTTTATGATCTGCTTTACTTTTTAGATACTTATCTGGGAATGATACTTGTGCTGTGCGGAACCATGTTATGTTGCTGGGACAAACTGAATAAAACTGTGGAATTATGATTTGTACACTTAAGACGACGATCATTAAGCACGCATCGTTACCTTTCCTTTTCCTGTTCATCCATGCTACCTGCCGATTAATCCACATCCATCCTGTGTAATGTGAGTACCACAATGATTAACACAATGAATTGAAATTCTTCTAACAAAGCAAAGTCACGATATCCACTTGATTTTGCTTCTTATATTATAAAGCATTTAACATTAATATATTTTATTATTAATGATATGCTAGTTTACATCATTGCATTTATTAATCTTGTTACAAGATACTCGATTTCAATTTTCACATTTAACGCATCTTATAAAGAGGAGCAATGTCTGTGTTAATAGGTAATAGGTTTTATTCGTAATTCCGTACAATATCGTCAATATATATTCATGATATTTACATGCATATCGTTTAATGATCCATATGTACACATACACACGTAGATAGCACCGGGTAGGAATGAAATAGTAATTATGGTGCAAGATGACTATGTCGCCGTATTTAATTTGTTTCTTTGTCCACACGCAAAAGCGTATCACAGTACAACAGATAATGTCTAGCGTCGCGCGTTTTATTTCTCTACACTGTTATAAAAAAAAAATGACGAAAACGTCTCTCGACTTATGTCGAACGTGGAAATTTCGCAACAGTGTATGTGTAATCTGTGATCCATGAATGTACAGAGACAAGAGTTATATTTATATATATATATAATGAAACACATAGGTCTTAATAAAAATAGATTAAGAATTATGATTATCAACACAAGTATTTATATACAATAAGCATGCAAAGATGAGATTGATCTATGCATAGGAAAACATTCAGTAGATATCGCTACGTAACTGTCCGTTTTGTAAATCGAGATAATATCTCGATTGTTGAGATAAAATTTGGAAAATATTTTTTCTTGAAAGATATTGTTCATTACAAAATATATATTTGGGAATTTTAATTCATTAACAGAGAGTGTATATACTAGGAATGTAGAAAAATGAAGATGGCACTTTGATTCACGGTAGAATAAAGTGACGCGTTAATTTTTCACAAATGCGTAACGCACATGGATAGAATTATGTAAAAATATGAAAAAAACATTAAATGATAAAAGCACTTTTCCTCAAGTCCTAAAGGAAAAACAAAAGTTAATGCACAATGAAATGTTAATTCACAATGTATATGCGAACATATAAACGCATTCTCATCATTCGCAACAAATTTAATTCATTAAATTTGGCAGAGAGAAAGCTATTAAAATAAAGTAACATTTGACATATTGAGAAGATTCTCATTTTAGAATATACTTTATATTTAATTTTATACTTCGTAAGAGTTTACATTCGATCATTCTTTCGCAATCTTCTTTGTTACAAAGAACGTTATTTATTTAATGCGCAAAGAGCATAACAATATTAATTTGACGCATAACTGAGGTTGAAATCTTCGCATGTGCCTATGTATATATTTGGATAATTGTTTTTATTCTGTTACGTATAGATATATAGATCTATTTATGCGGGGATTAAAACTTTGTGTCTTAGGTAGCAACGGAAATTCCATAAATTCGCAAAATCGATCAACGTGTTGACAGCAATTAATTTGTCGTCGCAATCATATGCTACTCGGTTAAAAAATTAAAAATTCGCGCGGTCGCGATCGACATTCGCGCGACGTGCATGTTAAAAGGTGTATATTATCGATAAGTCGCGTCGTTATTAATCAGCGCGCGCCGGATATCGACGCTTATTAATCGCCTACGAAATTACGGATTACACTTATGAAACTCGAGACTAGCATTGATCAATGGCCGTCCAATTCAAGCGCGGGACTTCTTGCTCTTTAGCTTGAACCATCCCGCACTCTTGTTCGGGTCACGGGGCACGGACGTGGATCTGTTTAATTCCACCTTGGAGCCTATGCCTCGCGATTTGGTGGCCAGCGATTCCGTGGAAACGGTTCTATCCACTTTCTGCTTGTCCTTCGATTTTAATGTGCTGCGATTGATCGTACCTGCAATGAGTGACATGGATATTTTCGTTTCTTAAATAGGGTTATTACATTGATAAATTAGTACTGACTCGATAAAATATGAAATGAAGAGAAAATAGCAAATTTAGATATAATAATTTAGCATTAATTCGGATTGTTTGCACAAAGCTCTCTTTAATGATTAAGTTTCAATTAAATCTAATTCATTTTTCTTAACAACTTGAAAAAAAATCTAAATTCAGTTTTTTATTTATCTTGAAGTTTAAAAGAATAAAACTATTTAAAATTAATTAAGTTTATTGTAAAAATATTCCATTAATAAAAGATACAATCTTATTCACTTAGTGAAACATTTTTAAAAATTAAAGAAAAAAAAGAGATGCATTGCTATTTAATTTTCTCTCTTTAAAGATTTGCATATTTTATTTAACAGATTATCGTGTTATTTTGCTCAAGAGTAAGATCATTTACTTGTCTTAGAAAGATTGTCTTTGCTTCGCCGAGCTTCCTTTCCTCGGCGGCTGAGGGTTTCGCGGCTTCGTTGTCTGCGTCTCATGGTCGCAATCGGTTTCGCATGCTGTTGCTGATCATAGTTGATCTCGAACGGTTCCCTATAATGTCGCGGCTTCCACGGAGCAAGGACGCTCACGCTTCTCGACACCGTTCTCGTGTGCGATTGCAACGGTCGATTTAACTCCTCGCGACTTGCCGCCCGGCGTCGTTCGTTTGGGCCTGGTATTTCACCGACTGGAATGCAGATATTTATTGAGTCGTAATTAGAATGCGGTCACGCTTGACATTTTCTACACCTTCACTACTGAACATTATTCATATAGATTGATAGTTAAATAACTAATAAATATCTAACCTGTGTTCAGTGTAATATATTTTTTTTATAAATTTCCTGTGACGCAAATGTGACAAGTATTGCAGAATTCAAGTGTTCATTGAACGATACGCTTCATAGAGCATGTCTATTATTGACAGTGATAACTTTTCAGCCAAACGTTATATACAAGATATCGAAGAAGTTCATATATACTTGTTTTAAGTGGATTGATCAATATTTCATTAGCACAAATTTAATATAAACCGTATATATTTTTATTACTTTCAAATTTTAAATTTAAAATATACTATTTTATTTTAATCTGCAAAGGTTAATTCACAAAAGATATTTTGTTTATTTATATTTTAGAATACAAATAATTACCAATAATATCTTGATATTTCCGCTACGATATAATCGATTTAAATAATCATCAAATTCAACAATCCTTTATTTTTTCAAATTTTTGGTTTTTGAATTTTTTTTTAAATAAGAAATTAAATATATCACACTGAAAAATAAATTGTAATGTTGCAAATCTTTTAGAATATAATTATAATAATTACGAATGCTATATTAGAGAAGTATTTTTACTGTACCTGTAGCAGCATGGAGATACACTACAGATCTCTGTGATCTCTGAGAGTTTTGACTTTGTTGGCTACTATCACCCGTTGTACTCTCGCCCGAAGACAATGCGCTTTCAGCAAGTCTCGAAGATTTCCTTGGGGCTGATATGATACCCAAATTATAGCGGTTCGAATTCGTGACATCACGCCTCGCACGGGCATGGTCGTCAACTCGTTTGTTTCTGAAATAATTAATTTAATTAGTTAAATTTTTTTATGATCTACATCGGTCACGTAACTTTTTTTCTAAAACGGAAACATGAAAAATGAAAATTGTTACATATTCACACAGATAAAAAATTTTCACTTTTTACATTTCCGTCATAGGACAAAAATTACACGATCGATACTCTAAATTACATTCTTACTATTTAATTAATATATTCTGAAAAAAATGATGTTATATCAACATTATTTTAATTGAAAATAATCTTGTTGGTTTAACAACAATATTAATGAAACAAATAAAATTTTATCGAAACGAGAGAACGCCGTATTTGTTTTATTAATAATGTTATTAAATAACAAAATTATTTTCAATTAAAGTAATGCTATTGATATAACATCAAAATTGTTTTTAGTGTACATACATTATCTTCTTTTTTGAAAGAATATGTAAGATTTTTTAATTTTGGAAAAGAAACAGTTACTTAGAATATTTGATATAATCTCGGACATTAAGAAAAACAATATCCGATATGTGTGCGTAAAATAATTAGAGCAAAATGAATAGCAGAAATAGATGATTGTATTTTTGTTTATAATGATATTAGTTAGAGCAAAATGTAATGATGATAAAAAAGTTAATTGGACGACAGTCGAAATATTTAAATCACTCTTGCACGAAATATTTAACCGGTCGTGCATACGCGGCTTATATTATAACATTTACCTGCGGTCTCTGTTGGACGAGACGGACTCCTGATCCGTATCGCCGAAGAAGCGGAGATTCTTTTGCACGGAAACTCGTTCAGGCGCAGAGGAAGCTTCCTCATCCTCGGTGCCGGTCGTCAAGATCTCGCTCTCGGGTATTCTCGGCTTTTTATCCACCGGCTGCAAAGTTATATCGACGCTTCATTATTCACGATCTCAAGGGAGAGGGGGAGGCACCAAATATAGCCACGTATAGATTATTTCTGCGTATAACAATTACGCCCGCTTATTCCAAATATCGATTTATCGAACGTTATAATTTCGCGCACAGAAGACGGACTTTGCAAGTGCGATAGATTGAAACGTATCGCTATAATGATATATTATTCTGTAGCACTATGTAATTTTCATAGCTAAGCACATACTTGACTTCAGTTTCCCGACTTTTAGGGGCGGTTTCGCCGGTTCTCGATTAACTTTGACTATAGTTCAACTAATTCTTTGGAGATCATCTCTTTCAAAAAATTCTTTTTTTAGGTATAAAAGACACAAAAGAAAGTTTTCGTATAGCTTAACCTACTTAATTTTTTTATTTTCCACTATCAAGATTCCTCACACTATTATTAGGAACCGATAGGGTTCAGCAAATGCAAAACTATTTTAATTAAAATCTCAATAGATTTCTAATGATCAATATTTTTTATCTAATAGAACACGCCATATAATATAAATATATTTAATGAAGGGTTAAGTGAATAAGAGTTTTTATCCAATAACAATTGATTTGCTTTTTACATTAATTATCCATTGGGGATAATAAGATTAAGGATAAGGATTAAGGACGCTTCAAGCTACTAACGGGAATGC